ATAAGAATCGTTGTGTTTTTGTTATCTTAGAAGAATTCTATCTATAGTGGGAGGAGTCTTCATCCACGAAGTCTGCCTTGCTTAACCGCCATGTTTCTACAGTAGCCCAGAATGGACAAATAAAACACTGGCTGTAGATAGGACCTTCCAAGATTTTTGCATTAGTTTCTTCTGCATGCTTGGAAAGCAAGCGGTATTGAGATGGTTGCAATCTGCAACTTCACCGCCAGAGAATGACGTGACGTGTGAAAGGCTCACTCGTAGTGATGAACATACAGCTTTATGGAGCTATAGAGGAAGTTTCAGCTCATTGTTTATCCGTCTGGCCCCCAACTGTGCTGTTTTGGTTTACTGTCACTGCTTTCATGTTGTTTTCAGCTGCAGAAGGCAGCAAAAAAAAAGCTCCAAAAACACACAGTGCACTACCTGCACCAAACAGCAGACAGACATAGAGAGCAACTAGCTGGTGGACATAGCGGAACATTTAGTTTCTTAAAAGCTGATGATATGTCCGTGTTGTGTTCACTGCTTGTTTCCAACAGAAAAGTCTGTTATTGCAGGTTTAAATTGTTATGTAATGAAAACACTCACAACAACCATCTTTGGCTGAATACATTCAGGTATATCAGCTGCAGAGAGCACATTAACCAGAGAAGAGACAAATGTTTCATTTCAGCCATCACTGAGTTAATAAGCTACTGCCAAATCCAAAATGGAGGCACTATCTGAACCCATCCCTAACGTGGGTTGTTGGTGAGATGCTTCAGTCTTGACCTCGTCATCCTAATGCTCAATCTCTCCAAGAGCAAAAAAAAACGGAGTTAAGTATAGTTAATGGGTAGATTAGCCTGGTTCAGCATGGCCTGGCCTGGCCTGTGAGACTGCACACTAACCCACTTACTAAATATACTGACAGTGTGGCATTCACTGACCTGCAGAGTAAACAGGTTGTTTACTCGCTGACCTACATCCTGTTAGTCTGCTGATGGAGGGATGGATAGCTCAGTGCCAGACGCATCAAAGCGGGGCGTCCGACATGTAACCATGACAACCCCTGTTCGCCTCCCATCGTGGGCATTGAACCTCACCTGTCCTGTCAGGTGAAGTGTGTGTAAAAAAACTGAAAGTAAAGCAGAATTCTGCTGAATGATTTAAAAAAAAAACAGAGTCAGGAACGTCCCCTCTGCGTCTCTGTGCTTTAACATGTCAGACACATCTTAAAGGTGGAGCTAATTTTAACTATTTTATATAGAGCAAGAGCTGCAACCAATGATTGTTTTCATTATGGATTAATGTGCTTGTTATTTTTCTTGATGAATCTATTTATTCGGAGAAAAACAGCAAGAAATGCCCATCACAATTACCCAGAGCTGACACCAGAAGTGATACCCTTGTTTTGTCCAATAGTCCAAAGCTCAAAATGATTCAGTTTACTGTCATTTAACAAAAGGAAAAGGAGCTGAAATGAAACCATCAAATGTTTGGTATTTTTGCACCAAATATTACCTAAACAATTAATCATTTATCCAAATCCTTTTTTATCTATATATTTATATACATATATATTTTTTTGCTTGATTAATAATATTGTACTCATTTAAGATCAAATTTCACATTCTTCTGGGTAGTTTAAATTTGGCACTGCACAAGTTATGTTTTGTATGCAGAATCTTAATTTGTAAAGTAACTAGTAAATGCCTACAAAAGAATAAAGTGCAATGAAATAGAAGCTAAAGTGAAATTCATATACCTCAAATTTGCATCAAGTCTGTACTTAAGGTCTGTACTTGAGTAAATGTACTTAGTTACACTCCACTGTTGGACTGTTGTTGTCAAACAGACTAGAACAAATGTGATCCTATCCTGGAATATCAGCTTTATGAAAACAGAACAAACCTGAGGAGGAAGGAAAGCAGACAGACGGGACAGTGAGACAGTCTGTTTGTCTGTCTGTCTGTTGGTCTTTGCTGCCCCCTGTTGGAGCTGCGTGGTATTACATTAGAGACAGCAGAGGACAGTAAACAGGAAGAACCTGAGTCACCCCTTTCAGATTATCCAGCTGCTTATGGAGGATCTTTCTGTCCTCCTCAGCTGACCTTTGACCTGCGAGGCCCTGATTGGTTTGTCAGTCTGACTGTCTGATTGTCTGTCTTGCAGTTCGGCTTCTCCTTTGTGGAGACGCACGCCGTATCAGCCGTGAGGATCCGTCCCCGGTCGCTGATTGGCTGGTCCGAGGAGGAGAGCGAGGAAGAGGGTGACTCCAAAACCTCTCCCATCATCCAATCAGAGGGAGCCGCCTTCCCCTGGAACATCGATGGAGAGCTGGTGGAGATCGCTAACGAAGTGCTCGTCCGGTGTGACTCAGTGTTATTACTACTGAAACACATATATCCTTATAATTACAGTAATCAGAGATATTGTTATCAACAGTGTGTTATTACACTGAGTGAAACAGCTGATGATTGATTATTCATTCAGTCTATATGTATAATCAGTAAGCTGTGTAATAATTTAACCAACAGTTATACGTACATTACATAAGCACTGTATATCACATTAAGGTGCATTCACTGTCTCCTTTCTTGAAAACAATCACTTCACCTAAATAACAAAAGAAAATATTTCCTCACTTCCCTCCACTGCCATCTGTCCATGTGTATAGATAGTTTAAGTTTCTCTGTGGTCGGTCAGCACCACTCAGCCCGTGAAAAATGTCTTCTGTGGTGCCGGAGGAGCTTCATCAAGTCTGCATAGAATAACCCTGATGATGTAATAATGATGTCATCAGGGTCATCAATCTCAGCTAGGTCTTGAGACTTTAAACGTTTTGACAGAAAACGTGCGTTAGAAAGATGAGGACATTTCAGGCCCTTTTTAGGAATACATAACAATCCTGTCTCAGATATTTGGCACCTGGTGAAAGAGAGAAAAGTGAAAATGACAAAATGGCATGACAGCAAGGAAGAAGAGTGTTTTCTTTTTTCTCTCACAGGCTGATTAATTTAAAATGTATTTTCCTGTTGAAGCCTTAAAGAGTAACTCTTTCTTCTAGCATATTTAAAAATCCAATAGTGGAGTGAGGGAGCAACCAATAACTGTAGCAGGGTGTCTGCTGCAAAGTTGATAAATACATTTGGTGACAATTAAGACAATTAAAAAGCCTTAAACACCATTTTCTGAGGTATTACATTTACCTTGTTTTCAATATGTGCATTTGTCCAAAGGGGTCTGTGAATTGAATCATTGTGGAGGTGCGTAGTGGGATTCTCTGCGGTTTATTTATGGAATCATTAGGCAAAGGTCCCTTTACAGCTAGGTCGCAAGTTTTCAGACACATTTTTGGAGTATAATTAGTGTGAACCCGTCTCTGGAAATCACAATGTGGCATACGGCTCTGTGTGTAGGAAGGTGATAAGTGTTGCCTCGATCAACGCTGTCCGGTCCCACATAGTAAGTGCTAGCTACTGACTGACACTCAGCCGCACTTCTTACAGTGAAACCATTAATAATGCGGTTTGTGGATCTTTCTCGGCACTACTGAATCTGCGCTCTCTCTGTTTGGATGTTTCTGCCCAGAATCGGTGGATGTATATTTGTCTAATAGTCTAATAGAACTGTACTGAGAGACAATCTGTATGGATGTTCACAACAATCTCCCTTGGGATAAATAACGGGGTACCACAAGGCTTTGTGCTGGTTCCTTTCCTATTTACACTCTCAATATTAGTATCATATAAAATAAGGAATAAATAAATTAAAACCATCTGCATGGAGAGATGCCACCAGAGGGAAGTGAGAATGTATTTGTTTTGTGGTTTGGGCTTCTGGACATTTGTGCTCATATTATTTTACATATTATGTTCTTAGTAATATTATATTGAACATCAGACAGACAAAACTAGGCCAAACACTTCACCTGTAAACATGGCACCTACTCTGGGCCCTAAACATACATCTGACTGTGTGTGTGTGTGTG